CAGTCTTGTGGGATATACCAAATGGGTTGTTAAAACAAGATGTGAGGCAGCTTCTAGCAGCTGTTACTTTGCCCACCTGCTTGAACAGGACGGTAGGCAGCACCCTCCTGCCTTCTTGTGGTTTATTTCAAGTAGGCTATTTGAATATATTAACTTCCGCTTACTTAGAAACATAACAAGTTATCCAAATTCTTCTTTGCTAGCTGATCTCCTATTAAATGGAAGTTTAATTATGAAGTTTTGTACAAATAAAGGCATTCATTAGCAAAGATAGTATTATCGGCTGCTAATACACTTAGCATAAACATTCCTCATTTATAGCCGTTAAAGGGTTTAAGGCTGGCCAGTGCAGAGAGGTCTTTGAAACAAAAAAATAGCTCAGGCTGAGAAAGTAAAATATGGCTGCTTATTCATTAAGGTAGTAGAACCAGCTCAAGATGAACAGGAAACCATGGATTTTCCAAGAGCATGTGGCTGCTGACATGTGACAACTCATTGGAAAATCTTGTTCTCTAACATTACAGACTATTGGAAAATTTGATTTTTTAGGTCATATTAGTAAGAATGGATAATCTTATTTTTTTTGATAACCAGTCAAAATTTAATGTCATTCACTTTCTGAATATAAAGGATTCTTCTCTTGCCATCTTTTATATCACTTTTACCCATTCTCTCTTCTCCCTTCTTCTTAATCTCAGAACCTCTTTATTATTGTCCACCAGTTTTCATAATTATTTTTGTTTGTCTAAATATCTGCTATGTAAACATCCACTACTTGTCTTTGTCACTCTGAATTTGTTTTTTGTATACCTAGACTTTAATCCCTTTTCCGTGTTAATATTTTCTCCAATTCAGTAGGATGTCCTTTCAATTTACTTGTATTTTCTTTCACTGTACAAAAAGCTTTTAATTTGAGGTAATTCAAATTGTTTATTTTTGGTTTTTTTCACCCTTGACAAAGGGGCCTACTCTCCAAAAGCATCTTTTTCATTGATGTCATGAAACAAATCACCATTTTTTCTATATATTTTATTGTTTGTAGGTCTTATTTCTAAGTCTTTAATACATTTTGCATTTATTTTTGTGCATGGGTGTTATATTTACTGTCAGTTTGTGACATATGACCTTTATTATATTGAGGTGAGCTCCTTCTATGCTCCACTTGTTCAGAGTTTCTAGCAAAAAAGAATCTTCTCAAATGAATCTTCTCAACTGTTTTCTTGATATTATAGTATTATCTTTTCATCTCTTGGATCAGGATATCTGGCTTATTTCATGGGTTGATGTGATTCTCACCAATTCTTTCTTTAAATAAAAATTCTAGGTTTTTTTCTTTGTTGTTTCTTTTTAAAAATTTAAGATAACAGTTATAACCATGTTTGAGAAATAAAGAAAAACAATGGATGAGCAAAAAACAGGAAGGCAATAGAGGAAATATGAGATTGTTGCAAATAGAATTAATGGATCTAAAAAATACTATAACAAAATTAAAAAATAAGATAGCCAACCAGCACAAGGAATGGAAAGACTAAGCAAACTTGAATGGAAAGTGATAGAGAGCACAGAGTGACAAAGAGAAAAAAGAATTTTAAAAAGTTGTTTTGTGTAATTTGGTTGTATATAAGTGGAGGTGATGAGTCTGGTCTTCATTTACCATCTTACTGGACTTGCTTGATAGATGCCGTTCTTGCTTGAAGGTTCTAATTTACTTTGACATGGAGATGAGGTCTTGATTTATATCTCTGGTACAGAACTTAGAGAAGGTTTTTCTGAATATAACAGTCCATATTTATCCAAGGAAACTGGAGTATGGTCTCATTTCACTGTGGAACTGCATGTTGATCCCTTTACTCTGCCTTCCTCTGCTGTCAACCCAGCAAAATAGCTGGTTTTTATGGTGGGCAATCTCCATTATAGCAATGAGTCAGTAAACCTGACTTTGTGTGACTAACTTTTGCCCTTGATAGTTTTAGATTGAATGGGATTGGAAAATCAGTCAATCAATTAATAATTCTGGTATTAGTACCACACTCTTAATTATTAGAGTTTAATGGGTTTTTTCATTATTATCAAAAGGTTCTTAAATTTTTTGTTCTTCGGTCCCTCTCCTACACTTCTTAAAAATCATTGAGGACAAATAGCAGGAATCTAGAAAATTTAAATAAGGGACCAGGAAAATGAATAACTATAAGAAAGTGAAAATCAGAATCAACAAAAAACTATGAAACAGAGACACTTTTGGGGGGGTGGGGGGCGGGAGGGGAGGGATTGGGATCAGAAAGGGGGGGTTGCAATTGTATGGGGAATATAAAAATAGAATTTATTATTTAAAAAAAAAATCATTGAGGACAAAAAAGAGCTTTTCTTAATGTGTACTACCTCTTGATATTTACCATATTAGACATTAAAACTGAGAAACTAAAAGTACATATTAATTTAAGATTTAATTTTAGAACACTAGTAAATTCATTACATATTAACATAAATAACACATGTTATGAAAAATAACTATAAAGTAATTTAGTGGGAGAAATGTCATTTTATATTCTTGCAAGTTTCTTAATGTTTAACATAGCAAAAGATATACCTGCTTCTGCATTCAATTTTGTGATATTGCAGCATTATTTAACCACTGGAAAACTTTACCGTATATTTGTGAAAATATGGGAATGAAAAAGGGATTGAATAAACATTGGTCCTGTGAACCTCTTGAAAGGGTTCTGAGTCCCTAAATCCCTCTAGGCCACACTCTGAGAATCACTGGTCTTCACTAGCCTATTTTTGTCTCTGAATTTGGAAAGTAGTAATTAGGTGTTTAAAATCTTATCTCCTCACTCAAGGATATCCTATGCCTCTCCAATGAATGAAATAGTTTAAAACAATGTTAATAGTACTGGGTTTTTTCTTTTCAGATCTCCCACTTTTTCATTTGTTATCATTCCTAGTCATTTCATGTTCTTTGTTGCTAGTGTGAATGGAATCCATTATTCTGTTGTACATTAATGGACTATCATTGGCCTATTTTATTTTATATGTGGTCACTTGATTACTCTTTATTAATTCCTAAATTTTGCCAGGTATGTCCAAAGTGACCATAGTTATGTTAAATAAAGTGTCTGATATGATTTGGTGTTTAAAGAAATAACTTGGGGTTTTAAATCTATTTATATGCTTGTATTGAAACGATATTTTTTTTAAAAAATCTCAATTTCTAGATTTCAAAGTCATTCTATGAGGAAGCATCTTGAATAGGTTGAAGGCCCTTTTGGCATCTTTTCAAATGATATTTTGGTCTTAAGACAGATACACTGATTAGGACTAGATGACCTCTGGTCTCCTCTGGAATTTTCATTTAGATAACATCATGAATGACAACCCCTTTTAGAGAGATTCAAAGGACATTTTGATTGTAGTTTTCACCCTTTGAAGGGGAAGAAGGCCCAAAATGTCCCTTGAGGCTGTTCAGTGACTCTGGCTAGCATCCACCAGGGTTCTCACAGCAGGGGCCCCCCTAAAGGGCTGGTCATTCTCAGGCATCCTCCTGACTACAGGACTTTAGCTTGAGCCCCCAACTTTCTTGACGGGCTGCCCAATATCTGCTGATGATCTTATTCTCCACTTTCCCTCTAAGGTCTGAAACCAGTTTTCATTTTCAACATCACAGGCTACTGGCCATGAAGCGACATCCTCGTGGCACTAACTCCACATACTTTGGGGGAAGTTCCTGGCGGGTAGAAAACCTTAATTGCAAGACAGAACATTTGCTCCAGGAAACTGGGGGTTCCAAGGGTTCAGGGGTGCCCCAGGGCAGGCGCTGCCCTCCCTTTCCTCTCTGGGTGCCTACTAGAGAGGCGTGGCTGGAATCCAAGGAAACCCCTCGCCCCTCCCGGGCCCAGGAACCTGCGGGGGCAGCAGCTGCGCAGACGGCTCGGCCTGATCTCAGGCGTCCCGGGCCCAGGGCCGCACGTGGCGGGGGCACGATATTCCCCAGAGCCTGGACAGAGCCCCTGGGCCTGCTCCTCCCTCGGTCCTTCCTTGGGCCGTGGCCGGCTGCCCGCCCCACCCCTAAGCGGCCGCCGCCCCCTCGGGCGCCCCGCCCAGCCGGAGGAGTCCGGGCGGCGCCGGGTGCCCGCGAGCCGCCGGGCCTGCCCCCCGCTTCTGGTCGCAGGGGCGTGTGGGGCGCGCGGGGGGCGCACGGAGCCCGAGACCGCCAGGCCGGCCGCAGCTCTGCTGGGGGAAGGTGAGGCGAGAACGTCACCTGAGGGGGTCTGAGCGGCGCCCCAGGGCAGGACCGGGTCTGCAAGACAGCACCTGTGGCCCGTGTCCACCCGGGGGACGCCTGCTGGGGAAGAGTTCGCCAGCACCCGGCGGCGGGGCTGGGAGTCCCTGCCACTTTCAGGGGCGTCTGCAAAGTTTTCTTTCCAGGGAGGATGAAGAAAGCAGTAAGGACATTGCAGCCCTCATTGGGAAATGGAAATAACCTGTCAGAAAGGATGTCCTTTCAACTCGCTCACCCACAGCCCTGTACCGTTCTCTTTGCCCCTTGCTGAAATTTTCCTAGGAGAAATTAATTAAAAGGAATTTTTGTAATCATTTAAAAATTATTAGTAGTATGGTAATCGGACATAAGTCTTGAAATAGCTGCTAAAATAGCACTGCATTTGGGGGTGGGGAGATCTTTTTAAGACCCAAAGAATCCTGATGGGGTTTGTTTTTGTTTCTGCAATTTTCTTGGTCACTGTAGGGTGCTGGTAAAGCCTCTTAACTTCTCACTGATCCATTAGAGTTTTCCTTTGGCAGAGGAAGTGAGATGCCCTGTGTTCTATGTGGGTTGTGTAAAAATGCTGAAGTATAGTATTGACTTTGTTCTACATGTTTCTAAAGTCAATTTCTACTTTTCCCAGATCCTTGATGCTTATCCCTGTAACAACATGATTTCTGTGCTGGTTACAGGCCCAGGATCACAGCTGCAGCCAGGACCTACCCTAACGTGATAGCTAAGCAGTATTATGCATTATTTTCAAGCTTTGCTAAAGGTAGGTGATAAAGTTGACAATTTTCTGGATTTATCAGAGGCTATGTGCCAAGTTTTGACAGATAAATGAGAGTGCATGATTTTCATGCCATACTGATTTTTTATTACATTATAAAAGATAATTGTTTTAAAATGGGAAAATTTAGAAATGTATAAGCTTTCAAAGATAACTTGTTCTTTATGAATACATTGATGTGATGTCTAGCCTGTGAAAAATTACTCTCATTTGTCTTAGTCCCTTTTTATTATTATTGTTGGAAACAAAAAAGGGTGCAAAATAAAAGGTTCAGTTTGGTGATCTTTAATACCAGCTTAGTTCATATATTAGCAGAGATTTTTGGTCATATCACATAACAGGGATAGCATTATTCTGCACTTGTTTTTTCAACTCTATGCAAACTTTTTTTGCAAGTATTATTTGAAAAATATTTAGCTTCAGTTCTCCAATTCCAAATTATTTGAAGGTTTTTACTACTTTAATTTGATTAGCAAACACATATTTGAAAGTGAAAATGTATTTGAGTATAAAAATAAAAATTATATAAATTGTTTATCATTTTAATAATTTTTTAAAAATTAGTGCTCTAAGCCATTCATTTCCAACTTTTTTTTTACATGAACAAGGATCCCTGCATTGGTGTTTCCCATCGGTTGATAATTTGAATAATTGTAGCTAATAAACTCCCTTTCCTGAGTAATAGGAAACAAACTTGGTTATCCATTAGAGGGTAAGCAGAAATTTCCATGAGGCCTTTAAACTAATTTTAGAAGACCCCTTAACCATTTTGGGTACACCTGGGAAGTTAGGATACTCAAGTTGGAAAGAATTATCCCTTTGAACTGAAATCATCTATCATTGAACAAAGGTGCTACTGTAAACTTAGGCCTGGTTTGTTTCTTGACTCTCCCATTTACCAGTATTAGGCTTCTCCTCAGTCTTCTTTTCCCAAAATAGGTTTTACAGTATGCCTTTTAAAATGCTTCTTACGGGTATTAAATGACATAAGTCATGTAAAATTTAAGCTCACTAAGTACCTGGTATATAGGAAATAGAAAAATGCTCGTCACCTTTATTATCCATTTACCCTGATGTCTGAGAGTGATTGCACCATGTGGATAGACTTAGATTAATTGTCATTTCTTGACAAAGAACATAAAAGCTCAGGTGAAAGTTATAGGCTGGCAGCATAAAGGTTTATTTGGGTCAGCCAGTACTTTTAAAATAATTGAGTTCTTTGCCAAAGTTTTTAAATTAGTAAATTTTATACAAATTCACAGAGTCCTAACTTTTCCTGAAAAACAAGAGGACCAGGCAAGGTAGGGCTTGCAGCTGCCAGTGACAGAAACTAAGATAGGCTTGTCCACTTTGAATGGGGCATGCACTTGCTGCTTTACCCCACCGCACCTCCACACCCTGCTTTTATGTGAACCCCCATCTTTACTCATGTCTTTGGCCTCCCTTGCCCCAGCTGGAAAGTTCTGTTTGTGATTTCTCATTCAAAAAAAAAAAAATGTTCCTTAAAATTTGACAAAAAATTGTGTGGCCAAAACTATAACTCAACATTCATCCTTAAAAAAGAGGGTGAGTGATCCTGTATTTACAGTTTATAAAGCATTTCCTCATAAAACTCACTTAATACTTCTATCACTCTGAGAATGAACTCAGCCATGAGTTCTTACTCCATTTTATAGATGTGGACATTAGAGTGCATAGGTTCATACTAAAGCTTAAGCAAGTGATCTGATGACAAGAGTTTTTGGGTTTTCACTCTGCAACTTTTTAAAGATGGAGAAATTTTCTGGGAAATGATAGCCTTTCTTTTGGTTTCAGCGTTTATTTAAAGTAAGTGCTTTTATCCTCATAATCAGAAAACGAGTGGTTGAAAGAAAAATACATGTATAGAATTACATAAGTAGACTTTTTACCCCCTCTTTACAAAACATTTCAAGTAAATTAAAGGCAACAGAACATTGGTATGACTCATTTAAAATAGCCATACATAAAACTGTACAAAGTCTGTTTTAGACTCTACCTTATTGTCGGTGCTATGGGAAAACTAGAAAGGCTATGTGTCCAGTCCATTGTGACTGGAGTTAAGCTAGCCCAGAGATTTCTGAGAACTTACACACCCATGACGAAGACAGTTGAAGCTGAAGTCGACTGTGAATGCTAAAGAAGAACAGACTATGACTCTAGGAAGGTCAGAATGGACCAGCTCATTCAGGGTTGGAGGATATGATTAGAAGGTGGATTTTGAAGGAAAATAATGTGATCTAACTTCTGTGTTGAGATCATTCTAGTAAGTCCTGGAGTAATGTCTTTTCTTTCAACACAGTAGTTTCATTACAACTGATGAGAAAAAAATAGATTTTCAGCCAGGACCACTGTCTATCTGGAGTTTGCATTGATTTCCCATAGTCTGTAGGTTTCTCCTAGGTGCTCTGATTTCCTCCTACAGTGAGGTTCGTTGGCCTGTCTAGGCTGCCCCAATCTGAATGGATGTGGGTGTGACTGTGAGTGCGATGGAATGGCATTCTTTTCAGAATTGGTTCCTACCAGGATGGGTTCTAGCAACCCATGAACTTGAACTGAAATAAACAAATTAGAAATGAATGTAAGTGATTATTGAATATTGAAAGTGTTTTGGGACTTTATTTAAAAGTTTGCTGCTATTTTTGTGACCAGCAATATGCCATAGGAATTTACCTTTTTTAATATAAATCAGCCTATGGTAAAATTCATTTCCTTATATGTCCTTTTGCTTAATGTTGCAGTTTCCAAGAACCTATGGGCCTTGTTAAGTGTAGACTCTTCCTTCCATCATAGGCATGAACTTGCATCATAGGCATGAACTTCTTTTGAATTTAACTTAAACCTTATGTGATGCAGTTTAAATGGCTTTGTAGAAGTGAGTGCATAAGGAGGAATCTTTGAATAATTTGCTGCAGAAAATACATGGTGAATGTTTTTAAAAGTGAGAATCACAGTATTCAAATATTGCTTGTTTTTGAGTAAAGCCATCTGCTACTTTCTCAGTGTGTTCTACATCATGGGCAAATTGCACTTTCATTGAGAAATGGTGTTCTCCATATGTATTTTGGAAAAGTTAACAACTAAGCTGATTAATGTTTGTGCTATATTAGAAAAGAAAATGTGTTCATGTTCATTTATGAAGCAATTATCCTTAAATTGGGTTTTTAGCCCTTACTACTGAACATTTGGTCATTACATCTGAAGTATTATAAGATACTTGGGGAGAGTGATTTTCTGGTAGTAACTTGTTTACTGTTTTTAGAGATTATATGAGTTAAGAATTAAGTGCTAGGATTTAAGGTATAAATACCAATTAATGCAAACATTCCAAGAAAAATAACTTAGTTTTCTACTTTTTTCTTCTGTATTATTATTTCTAGGAAATTGTCCATTCAATCTTAGCTTTTAAATTTATTTATATAATATTATATCCTTTTATAATCTTTTTGGTCAATGCTATAATTTGCTGGTCTTTAGATCCTTAATATTGCTCATCTATACTATCTCTCTTGTTTATTTCTTTATCAGCTTTGATAGGGGTTTATCTATTTTTGAAAATTTTCTTGGAAGAACTATTAAACTTATCAATAATCTTTCTTATGCTTTATAATATCTTTATTTAATTTCCATTCTCATATTTTTTCTATCTCTTGGTTTAACTCTGTATTCATATAATTTTTAGCTTTTCTTCCTTTCTGATGTAAAATTTAAAACTGGGTACTCTGTATTTCTTCTGTATACTGCTTTAGCTGAATCCAGTGCATTTTGTTGAGTCAGTGGTGCTTTCTGCATTATTCATTTCTAAGTTTTTTTTAAAATTATGTTTCCTCTTTGATCCTTGAAATATTTAGCAGTGTTTTTTAAGGTATTCTATTGTATATATTTTTAATTTTTTTTCTTTTGGTTGTTGATTTCATATTTAATTACATTTTATGCATATAATGCTCAATTATTGACAATATAGCCCAAACTAATAAATTTATTCAATCAAAAAATCAGCATAGAAAAAAGAAAAGGAAGAATAAAATAACCCTGTGAAAATAGTTATTATTAATTATAATAAAATATTGTAGAGACCAAACTCACTAGTAAAAAGATAGATATAGCTATAAACAGAGATAGACTAGAAGTAAAATAATGTACCACATACATAATTACTCAACAAGAGATTTGGCTAGATTAACATCAGACAAAATATACTTTAAGGCAAAATATCCTTTGGAAATGCTCTTTCTCAGGAGTCATTGTTAAACCCAGTTTTTTATGAATAATACTTTTGCCTTTGGTCTTGAAAAATACTTTTGTAGATTTAGTCTAAATTAACAGTATTTTGAAATATATATATGTATATTTTTAAGAAAGTGCTCAACCATTATCTATTATCTTTTCTTCAAAACTTCATGAAGTTTTAAGTTTAACATAAGTAAATCCTTTTAGTTAGGTCTATACCTACTTCATCAATCTACAATCTTCATCAATGCCTACTTCATCAATCTACTTCCTTTTTTTCGAGTCTTGGGATTGCTGTACCTCAGAGTTGTGTTATTCTTCAAAGTAAAGTCTTGCTGTTTTCTACACCTGAATGTGGGTACTCTTCTTTCTACACTTCACAGGTGCTGGGCCACCTAATATAGGAAATAAGCCCTTTACTCTTCAGGGAGAGACTTTATGTCAGTGATGCTCCTTCTAACTCTGGGTCACAATGGTGGCGGTGTTCCTGGAAAGACATGTCTCAGTGTTTCTTAGCCTTTCTAATGGTTTCTATCAGATTGCCTTGTAGAGATGCTGAACCTCTGGACATTCTTTTCACAGGCAGTTGCTCCTATATAGTTACAGATTTGTTCTATGTGTGGGGAGATGAACCTGGGATTTTCCTAGTCTGCTATCTTGAGTCACCCCCCTATTGTTTTTTAGCATAAGTTTTATAGGTATAAGTTTGCTTCTCAGCACTACTTTTGCTGTATCTCGCGAGTTTTGATATGTTGTAGTTTCATTTTCATTTATTTCAAGATATTTTCTAATTTTCTTTGTGATTATTTTGTGAGACTAATTGGTTGTTTAATGGTGTGTTGTTTACTTTCCACACACTAGTACATTTTCCAGTTTTCCTTTTGCTCTCTCTAGTTTCATTCCACTTTGATTTGAAAAGATATTTTGTATGTTTTCAGTCTTTTCAAATGTATTAAGACTTGCTTTGTGGCCTAATGTATGGTCTTTCCTGGATAATGTTCCTTGTGTACTTGAGAAAAATGTATATTCTGCAGTTGTTGCCTGGAGTGTTCTGTATATCTATTGTATTGGTCTATAGTATTACTCAAGCCCTATATTTTCTAACATATCTCTGTTGATCTCTCCATTATGGAAGATGGGATATTGGCATCTCCTACTATTTTTGTAGAGTTGTCTTTTTCTTCCATCAGTTCTATTCATGTTTGCTATATATATATTTTGAAGCATTGGTGTTGTATGAATATATATTTATAATTGTCATATCTTCTTGTTGAATTGACTCTTTTATCATTACATATAATGTCTGTCACCTTTCGTTTAGACTTGAGGAATTCTCTTTAGCATTTCTTGAGCATAAATCTAGTGCAATGAATTCCATCAGCTTTTGTTTATTTGGAGTATGTAAATTTCTCCCTCATTTTTGAAAGACTGTTTTTGTCAGATATAAAATTCTCAGTGACTTTTTTTTCTTTCAGCACCTACATATATTATCCCAGTGCTTCTGGTTTAGACCAGCAAATCTGCTGAGAAATCTTGTTGAGGGTTCCTTGTGAATGACAAATCACTTTTTTCTTGCCACTTTCAAAATTCCTTATCTTTTACTTTTAACAGCTTGATTATTATGTATCTTTGTGTGGATTTCTTTGAATTTTTCTTTTAAGTTTGCTTTCTTATATTTGTAGATCCATATGCATGGATATATATAAACACATATATATATGGAGAAATATATATGTGTGTGTGTGTATGTGTGTGTGTATATATATATAGATATAGATATAGATGTAGATATAGATATATATATGGAGAAAGAGTACTCCAGGGAGAGACAGTCCTATGGGTGATCATGCCTACTGTGTTTTAGGATAAACATGAGGGTAATTTGGTTATTTTATTTTAAAAGCATAGACTTACTAAAGCAGTCTATATATATATATAGTCTATATATATATATATAGTCTCTCTCTCTATATATATACACACACACACATTCTCTTTCCTTAAATTTGTGATGTTTTCAGCCAATAGTTCTTCAAATAAACTCCCTGCCCCTTTCTTTCTGTCTTCTTCTAGAACTCTTATAATGTTTATGTTAGTACACTTGATGGTATTCCAAAAGTCTCTTAAGCAAATTCATTTTCCTTCACTTTTGTTAATTTTTGCTCCTCAGACTTAATAATTTCAAATGACTTATCTTTACTTTAACTTATTTTATTCTGCATGTTCAATTCTGCCATTAAAACCCTTCTGGGAAATTTTCAATTTGGTTATCTTATTTTTCAGATCCAGAATATCTGTTTCCTTTTTTTAATGATTTCTGTCTCTTTGCATAAATCTTCAAGTGTTCCCTTTATCTCTGTTCTTTGACAAAAAATACATACATGGCATTGTTTCTTAAATATTTGATAAAATTGATAGACTAAACCATTTAAAATTTTTCCACTTACTGTTTCTTTAATTCTCTCTAATATTCAACAAATACTTATAGCTCCTTCTTTGTTTTAGTTGTGGTTTTAGTTTTGGAGCTACACCATTGAACAACCTAGATCAAAACATCGGTCTTCATTAGAATTACATCCTGAAAATAAAATAGGAAAAGAGGGATGAGAGTTGAAGTTGGGTAGAGGTCACATTGTGGGTTTTAAATGGTATGATTAGAGTAGGACTCAGGACATCGTAATTGCTTGTATATGACTTGAAGGAAATGAGGGAATAGACCATGTGGCTAACTAAAGAAAGAGCGCTCCAGGGAAAGACAGCCCTATGGGTGATTATGCCTACTGTGTTTTAGGATAAACATGGTAATTTGGTTATTTTATTTTAAAAGCATAGACTTACTAAAGCAGTCAAAATAATATTTATGATGAATGTTAAGATCCTGAAGTAAGATAATATTTTCGTTGTTTTATGGTTTTGTTTTTTTTTTTTTTTTTGGTTATGGGGAAAAATCCAATAGCTCAATATATGTTAAATCAATTTATTTTTTTTTAAGATTTATTTATTTATCTACACACGCACTGGGTACAGTCAGAAGCGCGGGAGGGTGAGAGAATTCACCAGAGTCAGAGCCGAGAGCAGAGCAGGCAGACTGATGAAGTACACTGCTGAGGGGAGCAGCAGGCGGCAGGAGAGGTCTGCGCGCCATATGGGACCCTCACCCGGTGGTCGGGGATTGAACCGGTGCTGCAGAGGCTGCGGGCAGCTTCGCAACCCAGTGCTCAACCGCTGCGCCACCAGGGAGGCCCTTAAATCAATTTAAAAAAGAAGATTCTTGATTATTAAATTTTAGTTCTGTAAGTGCAACTTTCCAAATTATGATAAATACATACTTCAAAATACAGTAAATATATTCATTTACTTATTATATAAACAAAGTAAATAAATACAAAGCTAACTCTTTAGCTTAGATATCATGTAATTAATAATTTAATTGCATATTTGGTTTTATTAGCTAGAGAATTTTTTATTTTGTGAGTGCTAAAGACTAGAAAAATATGAACATTCATTATACTGTAATCATTAATTAGATGTGTACTAACATTTTATTCTTAAAGAGTAAACAACTCTATAGTGGGAAAAGCCTACTTTAAGCATCAGAAGATTTGCTTCTATCCTAATTCTTGAAAATTCTTTAATGTTTGATTTTTGAGGAAGTCGTTTTAGGCTTAATTTTTCCTACTGTTGGGAGTTTTGTTTATTTTAAATGGTTCTAGGAGGTGTAGTTTGTCTCCATAATACCTATGTTTTTGTAATTGTGTGATTATTGCATTTTATGAGTATAGTAATTAATGTCTTTAAATACTTAGGCCAAATCCTGCTCATATTTGTTCCCCATCATTCATTCTACTGTTTTGTGAAATTTTTCATGATCATTTCAGAATTAATTGCTTTTTCACCCAGACTACTATAACACTTTATGCATGTTTTTGTTATTTATCACTCTTTATAAAATATTCTAATACAAATTTGTTATCTATCCATGAGTTACCTGCCTTTATATCCCTAAAAGGCTAATATACTTTGCACACATTTGGTGTTCACTCATTTTTAAGTTGAATTCTTATGCCTGTGTATTTAGAGGTCAATAGTTAATTCCTGATAATATAGCAGAAATTCAAATTGTGTTCAATAGCAGTACTGTTTGAAAGGTAGCATTCCATACAATTAATGTTTCTCTTGGTTAAAAACTCCTACTTCAGTCATTTCAAGAGATTTAATTTGGTCTTTTGGTCTAACTTTTATATTATATGGATGGTGTAAATGCTTATTTGCATAACTCAAGTAGATGTAAGTAGTTATCTTGTCACTGATTATGAAGTAACTAAAGTGGATGATTATTACTGATTACCTCTCACTTGTTCCTTTGCATTTTGGATCAAAGGCGCAAATTTCATGAAGATTAAGTGTTCTAGGAACTATTCATAAGTATGTTTTTATGTAATGATTTAATTTTTAGCAGGCTTTCATAGCCATTTACTAGATAATGTGCCATTAACTGTAATGATCAGAATATCATCCTTATTTTCTTTAGATTTTTAAATTCTTTTTAGTTCTCCCTTATTTCTCTTGCTAATTTAAAAAGTTTTTTTTTGAAAGACCATATTGATTCATTTATTCAACAGCTGTATACATAACACCTACTATATGCCAGCAGAGTTAGGCATTATTAGATTCAGGAGCAAACATGACAGACAAGGCTTCTGCTGTCAGAATTAACAAATAAATCAACATTTGCCCATTTAGTCATCATTTACTAATTCCCTACCAAGTGGTAGGCATGTTCTGGGAATTGTGGATCCAGTAGTTAAAAAAAAAATCAGTCTATATCCTCTCTGAGCTTATATTCTAATGACAGAATAAAATATGTAGGGAAAGCTAATTCTATAGAGGTTGGTCAAGAAAGGCCTTTCTATGAAAATAATGTTTGAACTGAGATCTGAAGACTGAGTAGGAAAAAAGCTAATGGAAGTAAAACACAAGTGTCTATGATAGGAGCAAACTATGATATTCATTGGTTTGTAGTTTTTAAGGTGAGAAGATTAAGGAGTTTTTTAATTGCTTCCATTTGATTTTTTTTAATTTAGAATTTTGTGGGAGGGGTGAGCAGCAAAGAAGGAACATTTTGTGAGAGAACAATTTGAGGAGAGAGATCACTGTGAATTAGTCTCCAGAGAAGGGGATGTACAAACCAAGGAAGGATAGTAAGATTGCTCAGTAGCGTTCAGGGCCTATTTCATGTTCTTTTTACCCTGAATTTAAAGTGAAACTAGTCAACAGAGTTGTCCAGTGTGTCCAGCTACAGGCACAAGTGTGGAAGAAGATACCAGAGTTGATTTTTTTGTTTTGTTTTTTACCCCAGGAGATTGTGGTGGAGTAAGAGAGGTATAAGAGTGTCGAGGGCAAGGAAGTCACTATAATTCAAGATGTAGAATTTTTGAATGGAAGGAGAAAATGAGGAGGGAATGATGACTGAAGAGTGCTGATAGAAAGAAAGTGAGGATCTATGGATGAATGGCTTGGATGAGGTTGAACGCAGTAGTCAGACAAGTAAGTTTCATGAACTAATATTATATAATAGTAATATACATTATTCTGTGCCTCCTATGTGTATACACATACATGCACCATTGCACTCAATTGTTTAACATTTTAAAAAGTGCAATTTTGTATAGATAATCAAAAAATGTTAGGACCCACCAGAAGTGCTGAGAGGTCTTTCTGTTCTTTTAATTTTATTTTTTGTAATTTTATACAAATAGTTGAATATATTATAAGGAATACATGGAAGGTTAAAAGCACTGCTTGAAATTAAAGAAACCTGGGATCTTATCTCAGATTATATATAAAATCTCCTTTGTAAAGTGAATTGACCTCATTGACCTAATTACTTCAGCACTGTGCCAAGTGCTTGGCGGATTGTCAAATAAAGGGGGGGTCGGAGTAGCATTGGGGTACAATGGTGGTGTATGCAACAGAAATGGGATGAGGAGTTTTGAAGAAGGGACTGTAAGCTAAGCTCTGAAAGACAACTTGAACTTAGTATTTAGCAAAAAAAGAAAAAAAAAACTGGGCAGAAGTTGAAGGATACAATGCTTAATAAGATACATAAGCAAGAAGGAACTGACCTGAAGGATGCCAAGTGGCTGGATTATAGTGTCTTAGAGAAGTATCGCAACACCAAAATTAAGCAAGGACCATATTTTTAAAAACCTTGTAGGTTATTTTAAAGAAATTTCGTCCAGAAAGCAATGGAGGAGGGGTACCTATTATTGGATTTTTACATATGACATGATATAAGACATGATCACTTGCTTTGATAGAGAAATTGAATTTTATCATCTCTAATAGTTCATTCTAAAATTTTGATTCATTGTATTAACACCTGAGTATAAAGCAGTAAATCAAATATTTAATATGTTCCTTTTATATTAATCTGAAAAGAATTAATAGCAATTAATGTGGAACTATGTGAAACATAGAAATGAAGCCCTGCTTGCAAAATATTATTATACTCATATTAATCTGTCTGTAAAAAGAGTTGTTATTAAAATTTTCTCTAACAGTGCATTCAGTTGCTGCTGTATATTTTCCATCATATCAGTGAATATATTAATTTCCCATGAGTTTTATGTGTGCCATTTAATATAAAGCAATCAAATGTAGATGAAACTCTGTATTCTTATCTCCAGTGATTTGAATGGAAGATGCTTCCATTAATTGGAAAAACCATCATCCTTGATAATTTTCCTGACCCTTCTGATACATGGGAAATTACTGACACAATAGGCAAAGGAACTTATGGGAAAGTTTTTAAAGTGTTGAATAAGAAAAATGGCCAAAAAGCAGCAGTCAAAATTCTGGATCCCATTCATGTAAGTCATACTGGATTTTTTCCCCCTGTAATTAAGTTTGCTTTTATTTGTATATAACAGTTAGAAAGTCTCTAAATATGTTATCTTGATTTTTCACACAATTGGCAGGTCTGTTTATATGATTTTGTATATCTGTAGATATTGAGAGGGAAAGAAAAACAATGGACCTTTATTAAAAGTTTATAATGGTTTATTTTTCTCTGAATGTAAAAGAACAATGAAAATGTTTTTTAAAAGGTCAATAAAACACATGAAGAGTTTCCATTATGAAAAAAAAAAAAAAAGAAAACGTAAAAAACAAAAGTTACTTACTAGATTTTCCTTGTTTATATGCTTAGCTTATAAAATAGAGCCCAACAAATACTTGATAAATGAGTTAAGTTTATAATACAAATACATAGATAAATAAAAATCTCAATAACTCTGGGGCCTCCCCGGTGGCACAGCGGTTGAGCTCTGGGTTGCGAAGCTGCCCGCAGCCTCTGTGGTGCCGGTTCAATCCCCGGCTGCTCCCGGCCACCAGAGGAGGGTCCTGCATGACGCGCAGACCTCTCCTGCCACCTGCTGCTCCCCTCAGCAGTGTACATCGTCATTCTGCCTTCTCTGCTCCCTGCTCTGGCTCTGGTGAATTCTCTCACCCTCCCGCTCTTCTGACTGTACCCAGTGCTTGTATGTATGTATGTATAAATAAATAAATAAATCTTTAAAAAAAATCTCAATAACTCAATAGTTGATTTAATATGTTTTAGATTTCAAAAAACTGTAAGATTATATTGATGATCTGGAAGTAATCCTAAAATGTCATCTTGACCTCCTCTCCTTTTCTTCCTGTGTTTATTTAGGCTTCAGCAGAATTTCTGGCTAAGCAAAACCAGAAACAGTTTTCAAAACTTAAATTTCTTTTAGAGAAGGGAAATTAATTTTCAAAATTAATTTTGCTTGAATGTTTCCAAAACAAAAATGGTGTTCATTATTAACCAGGGTGCTATTCCTTGTGAAGAACTGAATTTTCTCTTCAGTTCTTATGGCCTCTTTATAAGAGACATCCTGTTGCAGTCCCTTTTTCTATTTTTGAAGCAGCAGTTTTGACAATAGAACCTATTAAGTTTTTCTTTGCCTTGAAGGGCATGAAGAATTTGCCAAGATTCTCTTTCTGGAAATGAGGGCTAGTCTTTTTGGAGCATTTGCATTTCCTAGGAGATGGGTAGCTCTGCTCATCAGTGAGCTGGATGAGCTAGTGATCACATAATCCCCAGACTTCTTCTGAAAGCACCTTCTCTAATTACTCAACTCTTGCTCACATGACAGACATGTGGCATGATGGAAATATAGTGATGAGTGTGGGGAGGAAGTCGGTGTTCGAATCCTTGTCACAGTTTTTCCATTAACCAACTGCAAAAGGACTCCGAGCCTCTATTCACCTTAGGGTTGCTCTTTTTTTTTGAGAACATATTTCTACTAAATCCATTATAACTATAGTGTTTCATATGTTGAGCAGAAGAGAGGAGTGAGGATTGGCCTTTCAGCAGAAAATTAACTGCATTAAAGGAATAAAGTGAGAGGCATATGCCTAGGCTTTGATGCGTAGTGTCTTTACATTCACCTAATAGAAAGTTCTTTACCATTTAAAATGAGGGAAAAGAGACCAAGGATAAGTTATACCAAAGTGACTATATACTTTTCCAATCTCTGCAAGTTGCAATTAGAACTTGGGGTTCATAGTGTCAAGACAAGCGACTCTAATCAGATCCCAGTCTCTGACCCCATAATCTTCTCCCATTCTCGAGAAGAAAAAATGATTTATGAATACATGTAGCCACTATTCCTTCACAATTTATTCATGTTTGGAATAACACTAACCTTATAGATCCTGTTTTGTACTGTTGTTTTAATGAAACATATCAATTTCACAATTACAGTTTGAAATTTGTTCTATTGTTGCTGCTTTCTCATCATAGTATGTATGTTTTTCAAAGCATTATTAATCTGCTCCTCATTCATCATGTCATAAGTCAAATAAAAAAAGATTTATAACTGAGAGATTATAATCTTAATAAAATAAATTTAAATGCATCCAGGCATTTAAAAGCACAGAGTAGCTTTTTTATTAAAAGGATTGGACTGCTATAGATTTTGAACTAGTAACATTCTCTCAAGAAAGGGAAGAAACAGTGATAGGTGGTAGAATTGGAGTCCAGTCCTGCCTCTTACACTAACCAATTCTGTGTCTCTAACTTTTCTGAGCTTTAGTTTCTTTCCCTCAAATTAGAGTTCTGATCTAAAATTCTTCCCAACTCTGTTTCTAGGGTTCTGTGTTAAAACAATGTGGACATTAAATATTACTGTAAAAGCAAGATTAAAAGTCTTTCTCTTATTTATTATTCAAGTTGTTTCATGTATAGTGGTTTTTAGAAACATGGCTAAGTGACTGTCTTGCATTTTTGCTGACCAAATAGTGACCTATTCTACTTCTTATAAATGAACATTTAATGAAAGGCTATATGCCATCTTATATAATTAACTTTTATTTTTTTGAATGGTAGGAATTTATTGCTTGTATAACTAGTTATTGATTGCTTCTAAATATTTCATAAAAAAACAAATGAACCTGCTAAAAAGTTCATTTCTAATCACTGACTTTACCTTTGAAGCAAAGTTACCACTACAGAGATAGGAAAATCATCTGGAGTAGTGCTTCATATATGTTTATCTTTAATTGCCTACAAAAATAGTCTTTTATTGGAAATATATACCACATCTTCTTCATCTAGTCATCTATTTTTCATTGTGCAAAAATGAAAAATGTAAGAATTATATAGAATAAAATAAAAAAGAAAAATATTAAAAAAGAAAAGAAGAAAAAAAACCCAAAAAAATAGTCTGTTATTGACCCCTTTTTCATTCAATGAAATTAACATCATTAGATATGTATCTGATTAGCAGAAACATTGTAGTCCCCTCCTTATGCAACACATGAGAAATTTTGGTACATCATATTGAACATGGTAAGAACTTTTAAAATTAAATTTTCTATTTGGTAGTCTCTAATATGTTTCTTTGACATTATTCATGTTTTTCTCAGTCTTCTTCCTATGACTTTTTTAAACTAGGACATTGATGAAGAGATTGAAGCAGAATATAACATCTTAAAAGCACTTTCTGATCACCCTAATGTGGTCAAATTCTATGGGATGTACTTTAAGAAGGATAAAGTAAATGGAGATAAACTATGGTTGGTTCTTGAGGTAAGTTTCAACATCATTTCATAGGTGAAAATTTGCAATATGGTCTTAGAATGACTTAGTATTATGTCACATTGATATCTTAAAGCAATTCTTCTGGTATGTTTCTGACTGGTACATCTTCAGTAGCATTTTTGCATAGTACTCTCCTTGTCATTTTAAGACACATCAGGATATTAAAAAAAAGTTAAGAATTTAAAGGCATCATCTCCATAATAATAGACTAAGGAAACTAGGATTATTTTTCCTTCCGAAGAGCAGGCTGAAAAGGGATTTCATTATAATATTTATTTATTCATCCATATTTTGTTCATCTAACATGTGACTAGACTCTGTGCCAGGTGCCAGGATATAAGAAAAATGAACCTGGGTGAGGCTTCATTAGACAAAAATGGTGAGCTGTGATTTTCTTTTTCGGTCTTCATTGAATACTAATGACTAAAACTACAGAACTAGCTATTTAAATTTGTGGGGAAAAACCTCATTGAATAAGTAATGGTGTTGAATACTGAATAAGTTTCCAAAGGAAGCTTAGAAGCTGCCTTTTTAAATCCTCAGAGTAAGTTTAGACAATTCTGATGCAGGAGTACTAAGAATATACCTTGCTAAGGTAACTTCCAGTTCTAGAAAAATGTCATCTTTTTTCATTTTTCTGATTTTTATTGAATATTGTTTTTCAATTTAGATAATCATTAATTCTAATAAAATTGATAGGAATTTTTTAAAGTTGACTTTGTCAGACTTAAGACTAACACCAGCATATTTTTACTGTGTCTTTTATTATTTTATTAGCATTTGAAATTTCTGTTTCTTTTTGCAATGTTCCATTGGTTTTCCTACACATCATTGGTTATCCTGTATAATAATCCCTTATAAATTATGTTTTTCTTTACTTTGTGTTATATATTTTTTCCACTGTGGTTTTTAAATTGATTCTTCAAATAATGGATGCTCATTATAGAAAATACTTGAAACCATAAAAAGAACACTTTTAACAGTTGACATTTTACCTATTTTTCCATTTTATGTTTAAAATGGTTGACAGTATTAATTATGAATTTATACTGTTTTTCATTTTGAGATAGGCCGTCATCTTTATCTTTTTGCCTATTTCAGATAGGCAGTCAACTTTATCTTTTTCAAAATAACTACATTCATTTGATTATAAAAAACACAAAGAACCAAAGGATTTATAATCAAGAGCAGTAATGTCAATCCAGTTTAGTGATGCCACCTCCTTCTTAGCAGATTTGTGTATTTGACGTGTTGCTTGCTGTACCTGGAAAATGTATGTAGTAATTCATATTCTAAACTTTGGCAAGATTGTTAATTGCACTGCTGAACTCTCATGTCTTCCTGCTCTATTCTAGACATCTGCCATACATCTTGCCTCTCACAGTTCTCTGCTGCTCACCAGGGTGGAATCCACTGCTTCCTGGATGCCTTTGTTTCTCTTCCAAATTTAACTCTCTCTGTTTTGCATGTTTTGTAGTAACACGTGCCTTACTCCCATTATCCACTGTACTGATGTCACCACATCTTGAGTCCCATCAGTTACGTTTCTCTAGGAAACTATCCCTACAGTCTCTTGCTTTGCTGTGTATGTGCCCAAAGAGTGTTAGGAAGGTTCTTGGATGAGATTTTTGTATGATGGATAAGAAGGTGTCAGATCTTTTGATTAGAGACTTTTGATTAGATGGAGTGTTTTCTCTTCCAAATCTACCTTCACTTTCATTATGACTTAGGCTGTGTCTGGGTTAATCTGCTTAGGTGACCTCAAATAGCCCTCACTTTGGTTGTGACTTCTGCATGGCTAAATCAGTTACTGCTCAGTCCTCTCCTTTCCATATTGACAGATTTTGTTGAAATCTCTTGTTTTTTGGTTTCCTTTTTTCTGTTCTCTTTTTTCTTGTGGTTTCTACTTTTTATTTCTTTATTAGTACTTTAATGAGCATTCTTGACTGGGAGGAAAACAAATTTTTATTTTTAATCTGACACCTTTAATTGAACCATTCATTGAAACTGTCAAAACTGAACCATTTAAAATGTGCTTTACACCACTGTATAAATTTAAAGGTATAGACTCACACCTTTGCAATTATGTTACCACACCAAGCCCACTACAGAGCACCCCTTAATTCTCCACCAAAGTCGATTGGGACCCTTCCCTGCTTATGCTCCTCATTCATCCCCACCCCCAGTCTTGAATAATATTTTGTATCTTCATATTTTTCAAAATATACAAAATGAACTTCCTTTAATTTTTTCATTGACAGGTTAGCATTTGAATGAAGATTCAGGTATTCTGCCTAATGTAGGTCTAATGGGCAAGAGCACAAGTTACAAATCTGCCCAGAGGTTAAAATCCTTGAATGTCATCAGTCATTGTCTTTCATGCCTGTCAAATCCCTATTGTAATTAGGTTGTCATTTCTCTGTTATTTCTTGGAGTTAAGTAAGAATTGGAGATTCCTAATTGTCGTTAAATGTTCTTTTAAGAGAGAGCAGAAAAAGAGATTTAAATGGTTTTGGAACATCCAGTACAAATGAAATGACTTCTTAATATAATGATTTAGTGGAGACTTAGGAACTTTGGTGAACCTTGTCCTCATATTTTATTATCAGATAATATACTGGAAACATCCCCAAATGACTTAGAAAAAAGAATAAACCATAGTTTAATAAAATGGCATCTCAGAAATCTGACTTATGTAAATTTACAAAGTGGGAAAAGAAGTAAAGAGGATGCAAGAAGTTGGTAAACTGTATATAAGATAATTGATTTGCATATGTAAATTAGCCTAATTACATGTACACATAAGTGGCTAGATGTACAATTACCTGATTTATAAACATGAATGGTGCAGGTGCTGCTTTAGAGGCACTTTTAGAAAATTGGCTTGTGGCATCAATAGATTATTCTACAAAATGACTGCTGATTATACCTCTTATCATAATAAACCCCAAGTAAATTATTTGGCATGAGGATACCAAAAGAATGGCCAAACAGAGGCTGTGGTATTACCCAAAGAATCAGGCCAACAAGGCTAGGAAGGTGAATGATCTGTGACCTCCTCGTCAGCAGCCTGACATGCAGACAGGCTCTATTAGTTTCGGCCAACTCATGCCTAGTGACTTTTCAATATGAAAAATCATTTTATTTCTATTTCAATCCAGAATTGAAATCCCAAGTACAGTGTTTACTCAAATCTTTCTGAACAGTCTTTTTTTCCTTTGTTATTTCATTGTACTTTTTAAATTTTTCACCCTGTTACAACTTTTCTCTCTAAAATTTTGATCATAATATACTCTGTTTAGGAATTATTTCCTTGTAAATTCATTTTCACTCTAGTGAAAAAAGCACTAGCTGTTACCCCTTTAAAATTCTAGTTACACACTTCTAACAAAACTAACATGAGGAAGGGTAGAAACTTCTGGAGTGGAAATTGATTTTTTTTAACAGAATGTCTGTGGGGGTGTTTATTGTCACTTAATATTTTAGGTTCTCCTAATTATATTAGACATAAAAGGAGAACTAATGGATTTTTTTTTACTTTTGCCTCATTTTGAAATAGCATACTTATATTTATGTCTTCCTATTGCTACCACATCTCTTGACTGACCTGCTTAGTAAAATGTGATACCACTTTTGACTTCCCTTAACTCCTACAGTGTACTATTGAGAGTTTGTGGGGAGGAGGGAGAGGGACTTGGGAAAGTGGAAGTTAGTTAGGTTTCTGCATATGTTTATTACTGAACCAGAAGACTGAAAAACAGTCAACATTGAATTAAATCAGTCTGATATTAATCATTTGCTACTGATGAACACAAAGGGGAAAACTGAAACTTAACTGTAATTTTCCACTTTTTGGTTGCATGAGCAGCCAATTTTAAGTACTTAGGAAACCAATCTTCTCTCTCTGGGACTATTTGCTTAGTGTGCCTTCAGCCATAATGGAGACAAAATTCAGAGTTAGGACATCTTTTTGTTAAAGACCCTTTCCCTCATAGTCCAATCTTAGTTATAATTGCTCTTTCACAGTGGTTGCTGCAAACTGCATTCTATTATTTTTCTGAATTGGTCCTGATTTGTCCATTCTTAATAGTGACATTGCTTTCCAATTATAGCAATTTTTCTCTCTGAAATTATATCCCTTTCAAGAAACCAAAGACTGAAAATTACAGGTGGTATATGGAAGCACAAAAATTCAGTAAATAGTCCTAAAACCTCTCAAATACATATTTCAGATAATCAAAATGGTTTTTTATAGACATAAATACTGCTTTCATGTGTCATGCTTTATTGGTTACTCTGTTTTTATACTGACGTCTAGTAAGTAAGTTAAGGCCTGCTGTGAGGTAAGGAAAAATAGAATGGTAGAAGGAAAATGAGTTTGAATGGACAAATGATTTCTATTTGTTCAGCTATTAACCCTTTCATTGCTCTTGCCCTAGGCATAACATGTGCACAGAGGGACCTGAGGCCCTAGCAGGCTTTATATGTGGGAAGGGGAAGCAGCCGGGAGAAACAAACTGGGCTTCTGAGTTGCTCTAATAACACAGCATTATTCCTTCCTTCCTTTAGCTGTGCACAATTGCAGTGGAGTAGCAGACTGACAGGATGATTCCTTTCATGTTCTTAGGGCTGGGACAACCATTCCAGCTCTCATATAAAAGGCTGTTATTTGGTGTACGCACAACAGAACAGTCAATTACCTAGAGCCATTTCATTTTAGCTTTTGTTTAAAGGGTAAGATGGAAAAGCAGTCTAAATGGACTCCTTTATACTCTTCTACCATAGGAAATACGTAAGTAATACATATATAAGGCTTCTATGTCATTTTTCCCTAATAGTACTTCATTGCTTCCAAAAGCATCTGCTCTGAGGAGAAGTGCAAGCTTATAGTATTATTTCAGGGGAAAAATATGAGGTGATATTTTGACCTTTAATAAATCAACAAATTTTTACCATATACATTAAAGTATTTATGCTGACAGTTTGTCTTTATTTTTTCTAAAATATTTTATTTTATATAATTCTTACATCATTTTTCATCTTTGTACAATATATGCATTTTCATTTTGGTTATATTCCCCATACAATTGCACCCCCCCCCTTATTTTGACTCTAGTTCTTCCTCTCCCCAGCCCTCCATAATCCTTGCCCCCTCCCAGTGTGTCTCTGGTTTATAGTTGCTTGTTAATTTTGATTATTACTTTTTCCTGGTCTCTTATTTAGGTTTTCTAAATTCCTGCTATGAGTGAGACCATCCGGTATTTTTCTTTTTCTTTCTGACTTATTTTGCTGAGCATGATCCCTTCTAGCTCCATCCATGTTGCTGCAAACTGCATGTGTTTATCTTTTTTGATTGCTGAGTAATTTACTGCTGCTAGCATTATCAATGTTTGATATGGTTTTCCCAAGATTTTTGAAACATTTTAGGGTGAGGGTATTACTTCATATCTTGAGTTAGTGGCTACATGGTGGTATACAGTTATCAAAATATATCAAACTGTATACAAATCAATTATACTATATGTCAGTAATACATTAAAAATACTGGTTCTAGTCTGTTGAACATTCTTGTATTCCTGGGATGAATCCCACTTGATCATAATGTATGATGCTCTTATTATATTCCAAAATATGATGCTAAGAATATCCTTCTCATCTCCTTTGTCTGCCTCTATTTATTTATTATTTTTTTTAAGCGCGGGTATTTTTAATTTTATTTTACATTATTTTATTTTTTTAAAGATTTATTTATTTATACAAGAACTGGGGTACAGGCCAGATGCATGGGAAAGTGAGAGGATTCACCAGAGCCAGAGCGGGGAGCAGAACAGGCAGAGTGATGAAATACACTGTTGAGGGGAGCAGCGGGCAAGACAGGAGAGGTCTGCTGCGCCATGTGGGATTCTCAGCGGCTGGCTGGAATCGAATCGACACTGCAGAGGCTGTGGACAGCTTCACAGTGCGGCGCTCAACCACCTGCGCCACCAGGGAGGCCCTGTCTGCCTCTATTTAGCTTAATAAAGCTGGCAAAGTATGGCTTTTTCCGATCCCAGGCACTGGTGATACCAAAGGCAGGTGAGAGAAGATGTGAATAGGTCAGGCCATTGGGCAAGCAGAACAGAGAGAAAAGTTCCAGGATAGGATGAAGGCAAATGCTAAGGGTCGGAGGTTAGAGAATCCAATGCCTAGGGTGACAAAACTTCCTTTGGTCTGGAGCCATTTCTATACTCTGTAAATATGCAGCACTTTCGAGAGTTTTCTGCGGGATTTCATTTTACCTAACTTTGGAAAAGCTGGATGTGACAAGTTCCTTACCCTGTTCTTCCCTCTGGCTTTCCATTTAAATTCCTCTCCTTTAGGTAGGGGTGAGTATGGGATAGGTGGAAGCTAAAGAATCTCAAAAACATAACATTTAAAATGTTTTCTAGAATGTCACTTGTAACCCTTCAATACTCTCAAATTTTGCCTCTAAGGAAGCATGTTTTTAAATTAATGTACCTATATGTATTAAGATCATAGGATCTATTGCACTATTAATTGAATTATCAGAAATCAAGATCATTGTAGGATCATTATTCTTACCCTTAAATTTAAAAATCAAGCCCAGTGCTTCCACAAATACTCTTATAAAAATTAAGATGAATACTGTTCTAATAATTAATTGCATACTAGTATAAGTTTATATGTTCGTTTGTGGAACATAAAGATGATAGTAATCATTTGAAATAAAAACTGGAACAATGTTTTGGAAAACCTTTTATATTAAGTACTTAAAATTCATTTCCACTTTAATGTTTGTCTTGAAATATTCCTTTATAGCTGTGCAATGGAGGATCAGTGACTGAGCTCGTGAAAGGATTTCTGAAGACGGGCAAAAGAATGAGTGAGCCCATAATTGCTTATATTTTACGAGAAGCGCTAATGGTAAGGCAATTTGAACTATTCGTGCATTAATGATGAGGCAGTTCTGGTTAAATAAAACATGCGGTTCCTATTTTTAGAAAAATATCACTACATTAGTATTTATGATGCAAGAATATATGCAAAATCTAAAGTGTTTAGCATAAATAATTGCCCTTTTCCTTTAGAAATCTACCCTCTGTTTCAACAGAGCCTTGAGTTCTGACCTCTTAAGTGTTTTTCTGATATTGTTTATGATGAAGGCATATAATACACATATTTTTTACTAATAGGTTTTTCTTGCCATTATTTCAATAAGTATATAGAATGTTTTCTCATTGAGTTTGACACATTTGTAATAAAATGTTTGATATGAACTAACAAGTACTTATGCTCTGGTTTTGTGACTTTTTATATAGTCTAATGTGGAAATGGTGCATTAAGTCAATGTGGAGCAGTAAAAATTTTTATATGTTAATTTTAGCATGTGTTTCCTATTGATTTTGCATGTGTGAACCCACCTGAAAAATTTTCCTTGTTTGATGTTTTCTTTAAAAGTCATTATATATTTCCTACCTTCTAGGGACTTCAGCATTTACATAACAACAAAACTATCCACCGTGATGTAAAAGGAAATAACATCCTCTTGACCAATGAAGGTGGAGTTAAACTGGTAGATTTTGGTAAGTTTTGTTTGAAACACATGATTGGGGCTGCAAAATGAGGTGGTATGATGTGATTCAGTCATTTTCCACAAGCCTTGCTTTCTAGGCATTAAAAATAAAGAGAAAACTATCTTATTGAGGCAAGAAAGTACAGACTTGATTTTTGCTTGTTTGTTTTGCTTTTAATTAGAGTTTTCCAGAAAAGAAGAGATGTATTTCAAGTCCATTAGCTTATGCCTGTAACATCATTGTAGCAATACATGTGGCTGATTTTCTAAAATAGACAGCATCCCCAAATCATTGCACTAAGCCAAAATGGTAATCCCACACCTCTTACTTGTGATTGCTTTATAAATGGGTTTATGCCTAAATTCAGGATTTTGAGACAGTGGGGGACAAATTTATAGGTCTCTGGGAAAATCTTTCTCCTCCTAAGAAGGAAGCACAGGGAAAGATGACCTCTTTCTTCCTGAGGACCCTGTGGGTCTTATTGTGATGCCTGAAACTGCTCCAGCCACCTTGTTCCTTCAGAGGTTTTTCCATCCCAAGTAGAAAATCAACCCTGTGAAAAGCAGAGCTGAGAAATGGAAAGAACAAGGTCCTCAGTGACATAATTAGCCACTAAATCAACCAACTTTGAAACATGCCCTATCTCTGAACCTTTTGTCATGTGAAATGATAAATTTCCATTTTTACTAAGCCAATTTGGAGTTTCTGTGTCATCGCCAGAGGCACATAGCTGATACCACATAGTTCACCTGAGCTATGACAATGCTCTTCCACACCTTCTCTCTCCATTACTGCTGATGCACTAATCCTTTGAGAATAAGTGGCATATTCTAGGATGCTTGAGTCCTTTAGACGTTCCTCTCCTGCACTCTGACTGGGTCCGGTGCCCCTCCTTGTGCTTCTGTACCTTGTTTATTTATCCATTTTTGGATCTGTCATAAAATATTATAATGATCTATTTGATCTTTATAGCTAAAGATACTTAGAAGGATAGATAGTCAGACTGGGTCTTTGACAGGAGAGACTGTCTTCAATTTTTTAGACTTAATGTTTGGGTTTAGTCATTCAGTGAGTGATACTTGAATAAGTCTTTCTTCACTTTACCTTTTGGAAACTGAAGCTTGGGGAAGTTCATTGATAAACGTTTGAAAGTCAGTGTTTCAATGGCCAAGTACATACATAGCTCCCTAGAGATATGGCTCAAGCCAGGAGTGAATTCAGAGGATCTAGAGAGAATAGCCTAATAGCATACCCTCAGACAACCAGCTGAGTTTTTGAAAATTGCAAAGCAGCCCTGAGTTTGGCAGTGAATTCCTGTAGTAACTGGGACACATGTTGTCTGTATTGCTGGTTGAGTTCAGAACTCTGTGTTTGAGCTGACAGGTTAAGATACCAGTAAGAACTTGTGCCTGAAATTAAAAAGTAAACAATTAAAAACCAAAACAATCTTCATGGTCCCATAAGGAGGCCATCACTCATCTCAAAAAGTTATTTTGGCTCCTCTCCATTCTAACAGGCCCAAATGAAGAACTTGATGTTTAATTTGAGATCTCAGAATCCCCTTGTGCTTATGAAATGGCTACAATACATATAGTCTACACTGAAAATTGTTAAAAGCAAGTGTAAGTAAATACCTTCTTTATTCATGAAAGAAAAACCTGATAAAACATTGAACATTGAGAAATGCAGCTTCCTCGAATACCCTCTAAAGTAATCTGGATTTTTTTTTTAAAAAACCTAAATAATATAGAAAGCAATTATTTAAGTGAAACTTTTATAAAGTAGTCATAAATGGAAAGCTCATAAAATGAAACTTTGGTTTTAGATTAATTGATTTATAGACTTGACTCTCAGCAACAACTAGAAAAAAAGACAGCTAAATGTGTTCCTACTCTCTGATACTAAAATTATATTTTTTTGTCTATAAGATATTTCTGTTCTTCATGGTAAGAGGACAAGGATTCAGTTCACCTGAAATGATTCATAGGTTTTCATATGAATAAGAATGGAGGTGCAGGTAGAGTGAAACTTCTCAAGGGCAAAAGGAATAAGATGTGGTAAATCATAAACTGCAGAAGCAAATCACAAATCAATATGTTAGTTTTATGTTTAAGTCACATTTTCACTAAAGGCTATAGCTGGGAATAAAGGGTTTTAGAATACTTATTATTTAATTTTCCTCATAAAATATATGTAAGTTCATTGTTGAATACTGAAGATCTATGCCTGGATGGCTGTCAACCCTCAAAATGGAACTCATCACCTCATCCATCTCATCTTAGGAAGTTACTGGCATCTATCTTGTGGCTCAAGTCAGAAATCTTAAGCTCATTCTCAGTCTTCCCTTATCTTCACCTCCCACATCTATAGCTAGTCACAAAACTCTGTCCCTTTACTAGATACCCCCCAATTCCATTTGTATTTCTCCTCTCTGGTCCTTGCCATTACTTCTGGCTTGGACTCCCTACTCATGCCTAAGCGAGCTCCCTGCATCTTGTCTTCTCTTGTCTATTCTCCATGCTGCAGCCAGATTGACCCTTTCAGAAAACACATCTGATCCTCCCACTCTGTTGTTCAGTATTCTATTCAATGTCTCCCTCTAGCCCTTGGGGAGAGCTTTGCCTTATAAACCTCTGTGCTGGCACAGAGTAAACACTTAATGATTGGTAGCTTTCTTATCCCCTAGTACTCATCAGGTAACCTCTCTTCCTATATCAATCTCTATTCCAAGCAGGTGAGCTTCTTCCAGTTCCTTAATTGTGCCAAGGCTCTTACACATGTAATTGAGGAAGATCTCTGGTGTTTATTAATATGCATTTTTCTGTGCCTATCCAAGAACATTATCTTCACCCCTATCTGCCTGAGGCATCTCTGTCTGGGGGAAGACTAAGATTTGTGCCAGAAGGAATGTAAGAAAATGACTGGGATAATATTAAATTTTTAATGTTCAAAATAAGGATTTACAGAAAGACCCAGATGATCTCTTTAGAAAGATCTGTCTAAGTTGCTTTCTAGTCTCTTTACCGTGTGGCAAGAGAATTTCCAGAGATCCACCATAGAATTGCATAGAAGACAGAACAGAGAGAAAATGGAGGGCCTCCCTGGTGGCACAAGGGGTTAAGCACTATACTATGAAGCAATCCTCGGCCTCTGCAGCACGAGTTTGATCCCCAGCCAGCCAGAGAGCAACCCACATGGCGAAGCAGACCTCTCCTGTCGCGCCCGCTGCTACCCTCAGCAGTGTATTTCAGTCAGTCTGCCTGTTCTGTTCCCCACTCTGTCTCTGATGAATCCTCTCACACCCCTGCATCTCTGGCCATACCCCAGCTCTTGTATGCATAAATAAATAAATCTTAAAAAAAAGAGAGAGAAAATGGAAACCATTCCAATTCTAGGGAAATTGTGCAAAGGTAAAATAGAGAGCAAAGCAGGAGAGTGACATGAGTTTTTCGAAAGTGAAGAAAATAGGGAAGAAAGGAGCTTTTTGTCTTATTTGATTATAATCCTATGTTTAATTTTACTACCTTTCTGATAAGCTATAAGCTTCATGATGATAGGGTCTCTGCTCTATCACTTTGTTTCTAGCACAAGCATCATACTGACACACTGAAGGTGCTCAATAAGTATTCTTGAATGAATTAATGATAGGCCAGATTTTCCATGTAACTGTGTGACTATGAGAAAGTCACTTGAAATCTTTGAGGACATCAATTTGCTTATCTGCAAGTATGAAAAAGAACACTGTATTTCTGGCAGATTGCTATGAGGAGTAAATGGAATAATACAGGTAAATAATTGTGTAATTATTGAGGCTTATAATTGAAAAAATATAAACTATTATCTTTATCACAAATAATATTCTCACCTAGCCTCTAGCTCACTGTTGTACACATCATAGGTAGATGATACATAGTAAATAAATATTAAGTCACTGCTAAATAATGAAAACCAAAATTGGTGCCTCTTTCTGTTTAAAAATAGTCTTTTGCTAGAGTAAATTCATCATTGCTTTAAAAATCAAGCTACTCAATTACACTAAAAGTAAGATGCAGCTTTCTAATACTTGCTATGAATACATCTTTTAAGGAAAATATTTGGTCTTCTTTGTTAAGTGGGTTATGCTTTTACAGGAAACCACCAGACACCTCAGAGAGGACAAGTAAGCTTGTAAACATTATTAATGAAATACATTAGCAGTCACTGGTATATGATCAATCAATAAATAATATGACCTCCCAGGAGATAAATCCCTTTAGGCAAGTCACTTAATGTCTGAAAAAGCAACCCTTATCTGGAATACAAAATGAAAGAGAGACTCAATTTAAAGGGCAGTCCTCAGGTCTCAATTCTAAGCATTTCTCTCTGGGGAACTACATTTCTAATAGGATAGTTAACATTTCATTGCAAAAGTACAGGATGTACTTTTGTGATTTATTTAGACACTGTTCTTATGACAGAATATTTTATGGCTTTAAATCTCTCATTACCCACATAGTTAATTTTAGCCCAAATCCCCGATGAGTAATGTAGGTCAAAAAGTTGTGATTTATTTATTAATAATCTACCTTTAGCATCAAGTGAGGAGGTATACATGTCCTGAAAAACTATGAATTTCCCTTTATTTCTTCCTTTCTTCCCAAATAATTCAGATTAAAAGCAAGCATGGAAATGTGTAGGGGGTAGATCTCAGCAAGTGGTTGGCAGCCTGAGAGGGTGGGGAAGGTGTCCATGTTGGTGGTGGTGGCTTGTCATGTCCCAAAGTAGGGCAAGCAGAGTATCAATCTAGAGGGATGGTGGGGACTCCATGGAGGTTGTCAGATCCCAAGTGAGATAAGAAGGGCAGCTGCATAGGAGTTAAGAGGGAGATAGATTGGTTACATAAGGAGGCTTACTACCATCTGAAAGTATACTGAGGACAATCGGAGACAAGTTCCTTATTGTTAAAGAAAAAAAAAATCACAAATATGGAGAGGCAAAAAATTGAACCCAATGGTGTTGGACTGGAATTG